TCTTTCCCCCCAATTTTACTAGACAACAGATTGTTATGTTGGGGAAGTTATAATTATTCAATCTTATATAATTTATTTTGATTGTGAAATTAGTCTATCTCTTTTTCCCACATATTACATATTGTAATAAAGTATTCACATAATGAGTGAATAAGCTCACAATGTGATGTATTTCATAATATGACATTTTCTAGTGATTAACATAAATACTGAGAGGAGAAATAAGTATGTTAATGTGTACCTTTTTCTCTGATCATGGAATATGGTAAATATTTTCTAAAATAGTAAGTTTGAAAAAATAAAATAAAATAGTAAGTTTGCAAAACTTTAGGAAAATATACTTTTAAATTCAGTTTTCGGTTTTAGATATACTTTGTGTCAACTAAAGCTCAGAGATAAAATGTTTTATAACAAATTTGAAGTGTTCAGATTTTATGAAAATGGAAGCTTATTTGTTGCTGGATTACATAGGAAAGGCAATATATTTGAGCAAACAAATGTTTGATTTGGACAGAACTTATAAGCAAACACATCCACGAGCAATATTTTCTTGATTATAACACATGACGTATTGGTTTTCTATTGTTGTTTAACAAATTCTCACAAAACCAATGACTTAAACAATGCAAATTTATTATCACATCATTTCTGTGGGTCAGGCCCTCAGGGGTCCAGGCCTCATTTTGGGGCATTTGCCCAGTTTCACATACTGAAATTAAGTTTTCAATTGGGCTATGATCCTGTCTGAGGCTTTACGTCCTCTTACAAGTTCACAGGTTGTTAGCAAAACTCAGGTCGCCTGGCTAGAGGGGCTCAGATGGTGCACTAAAAGGGCACATACCTGGGTTGTGGGTTTGATCCCAGTCAAGGAGCTTATGGAAGGCAACTGATCAAAGTTTCTCTCTCTCCCCCTTTCTCTTTCTAAGCATGTCATAGGGTGAGGATTAAAAACAACAAAACAGTTCCTTAATGGATTTTAATTTTTTTGCTTGATCTTCCCTGGGGAGTGCTTTCAGCTGCTAAAAGCCCCCCTGTTCTTTGCTATATGACCCCTCCACAAGCAATTCATAATGTTTGCTCGCTTCTGCAAGGCCAGCAGGAGAACCTCAGCTGCTTTTTCAAATTTCTCTGCCTCCCTGGTATTTTTATCTCAGAGCTCCTTTGATTTCCTTTTATCCTTCTCTCTGACTACATTTGTTTTTGACTACTATGGTGTCTTCTAAATCATAAAGAGGTTGAATCTGAGAAAAGTGACTCTACTATGACCTGTGGGCCTGTAATGCTTCAGTTTTCACAGTACGCACCTTAAACCAATAAAATGAAGTAATAATAGCATTTCACTTGAAAAAAGATATCAAAGTTAATTAAGATGCATGATAAGAATAATACACTCAAAACGGAATCTTAGTTTTAGGGGAGATTTACTTCTGAGGGGGACAAAAGTTTATTAACACATTTGTTAGTAGCGGATATTGTTTTAGTAGAATATGTTGTAGTTATGTTACTGTAAATTATGACACAGAGTCAGCAAGAGTGTATTGTCCTACTTGATGGCTATTATTCTCAGAGAAACAAATTTTTATTCTTTCCTAAAAGTACCGTGTGGGAAGACCAGTGGACCAAGATGGGAAATGGGCAGAAGGCTTCTAGAGGAGGAGCATTTAGACAAGTATGATAAAGAGTGTTGGGGGAAGGACAGCCCAAGTAGAGGGGGCTCTGGAGTCCAGGCATGGAGACATCAGAACACCACTTCTCTGTGCCTGTGAGGCTACGGAGAGGTAGAGATAGAAAGCCAGAGACAGAAGTGGTAGGCTGGAGCCAGGTCCAGAAAATTTTGTCCTAAAGAGTTTTTATTTTATTCAGATGTCTGTGCAGAACCATAAAAGGGTTTTGGGGATGAGAACAATGAGGTTTGTTTGATGCTTTCAGAAAAAAAATTCCTGTCTGCAAGGTAGAAAATGGGATTGAAGTGAAATAACAATTGCATGTGTCATGAGGAGTCATTCATTCTATAAATGTAGTAGAACAAAGGGTACTGTCATTTTTTCTGATGTGTTAAAACTTTTATGATCATCACATACACTTTTCTTAGAGATTTTCTCTTATTAGCTTTTTAAAAATTCTATCTTTAAATTGGAATCAAACATAACCTTAATTGACATTTTAATCATTTTTTTTGGGGGGGGAGGGGTTGGATTACATTGCTTTATGGAAGTAACCACTAATTGAAGTTCCTTGTGATTTGTAATGACTTCATGTCAAGTTGGGACTATTCATTTGATCATGTAGTGATGGGATTGTGTTCCAAAAGGCTCTTATGTATAGATTTCTTAAATATTTGTTTTCATATTTAGGTATTATAATTGGTGGCTAGAATATCAGGCCAGCTCTAAAAGGTCTGTTTTGTGTCATATGCCTTAAATAGATCACTATATCACTTGAGTAATACATAGCTACCGTGTAAAACAGTGCCCACTGGGAATGTGTATTTTAAGTTTCAACGTGGGAACAAAGTAGGTTTGATTCTTTCCACTTCTTGGAAGAAATCTGGGTTGGCCAGAGGTGGAGAAAGGGATGCCTTGAGGCAGTAACTTTACTGTTTTTATTTTCCACATCTAAATAAAACCAGGGTAACCTTAATTTGTTCTGAATGAGGAACAAGGGCATTGTGATAAAGATGGACAGAGTAATTTTCATAAATTCATACTCTACTATCCCCTTGTTTGTGTAGCTTATTTTATAAATTAAGTGTATGTTGTCTTTTTATTTATGCTTCTTCATATTTTGTGTCAAAATTTTAGAAAGTAGAATTCAGAACATGTCCCAGTTATATAAAGGGTAAACACTTAAAAGAATATGAACAGAATTCAAATAGAGATATACTTATGAAATGGATAAGATTTAAATTAAATAAATATAGGAACTAAGAACTCATTCAACACTCAAAAATGTTGGAATGGTCATAGGTGGTCAAACTTCCCCAGGACCCAGTCTTTCCTCCCACTTTCCCTTGGTTCATAGAACTCAGTAATCTCTTAAGAAGCTGGATTACCTAATTCTCAGTCTTTTGGGCTGGTTGTCAATAATTGAGAACACCTTTCTATTTGTATCTGTGTCCTTTCTACCTTCAAACTTGCCAGCTTGTCTCTTTCTTGTAGGACTCCTGAAGGCAGTAAGAAGTAACCAATACAATCCATTATCCTGACATTTTATACCAAGTTCTTAAAACATCAGTCCATTGGTTAGGTGGTCTCACTTCCAAGACAATAGGTTTAACTGCACAATGAGAGGAGCCATCTTCCTCCTAGGACAGTGGTCGGCAAACTGTGGCTCGCGAGCCACATGCGGCTCTTTGGCCCCTTGAGTGTGGCTCTTGCACAAAATACCACGTGTGGGCGCGCATGTACAATGCAATTGAAACTTCGTGGCCCATGCGCAGAAGTCGGTTTTCGGTCTGGGTGAGTCTATTTTGAAGAAGTGGCTTTAGAAGAAGTGGGGGTGTCGATCGGTTGCGGGGAGACGGGGCCCAGGCGGGCCAGGGATACACAGCGCAGGGGAGGTACATTGTTTTGAGGTACGTTTGCTGAGGTTGACCCCTTCCAACTCTCCCATCCACACTAGTCTATCTGAAACAAGTACGTATACAAGACGAGTGTGGATGGGAGAGTTGGAAGGGGTCGACCTCAGTGAAGGTTCCTCAATCAGACTGAGGACGTTTTTAGCAAAGGCCAGCTTAGGAGTACCTAATTAAGTTAATAACAATGTACCTACCTATATAGTTTAAGTTTAAAAAATTTGGCTCTCAATAGAAATTTCAATCGTTGTACTGTTGATATTTGGCTCTGTTGACTAATGAGTTTGCTGACCACTGTCCTAGGAGATGAGGGGACTTTCACTACCCTGCCTTCTTTCTTTACTAAAAAGGTTTTACATTGTAGGTTCTATCACCCTATTTCCTGGCAACAAGTTCTAAATTAGTTTGCTTTAAGATGTAAGCCGCAGAATTCAAATTTATTGGCTCATGTAGTTGGAAAGTCTCTGTGTCTGAATTCTACTGTTTTGTGTGTTGACAGATTGTCTTCATGTAGTAGCACAGATTGCCTATGTAGCTCTAGCTATAGCATCCGGCCAACATATAAGGTGGCATAACATATAAAGATATGCAGGTAAAAAGGCTTATCTCAGTTTTGTGATCACATTGTTTTTTCTGGGAAAAGGTTAATACCTTTCATCATATAATTATTGATTCCCAAAGCTCAACTGAGTCTCATTGGGGATGTTGGCATTGGTGTGTTTGGGAGGCTGGAATTCAAGTCCAAAGAGACTCGGAGAAGGAGTACATTATTGCTTGGTGTCAAATCTCTGTTCAGTATATGAGATAAAAGGTAATAAAAAATATCTCTTAGGAACCAGCAAATGATCCTTATACCTAGAAGATCAGGTAGATTTTCCATCTCCTATGTCTGTATGTGCCCCCCTCTTAGTCAGGAAGCACGGGGCATCTTAATCTATTCCGTCAGGAAGGCGAAGTTCCCCCCACTATCTGCTTCCTCAAAACAGGGCTCTAGTACCAAAAGAAGGGGAGAATTGCACGTGGTGCTGGGGCAGATAAATACAACGGGTTATACTACTAATTTAACTCACAATTCTTGTATTTACTAGTTGTATGTTTTTGAGCCAGTTATATAATCTCTTAAATTTTAATTTCTTAATTGGGAAATGGAGAAATAGTGACACCTACA